TTTTTCCTTTTGTTTCCTTCTCTCTCTAAAATCCACCCTCTTCATCCCTCTCCTACTTGTTTCCTCTCTGACAAGTCTTCTTTCTCTTCCAACGCCAATCCGACGAACCACAAACTGGCGACCAGCGGCGGTAGACACCTGACAAACATATCCGACAACCCCAACAGCAGCAGCAACAACACCAGACAAACATCAACTATAAACTCCGTCTATTGGAATTTTCACTAATATGGAGCCACCCATGTATAATTTTATGTGTTTTTGCTATTTAATTAGATCAAACAGTAGTGAGCTAGTTCTAGTTTAACGATATAATTATAAAAGAATCATGGGTAAAATGTATATCACCATAAAATTATTTTCAAATTAACGAGGGGTCAAATTGAAAATATTCAAACCTTCTAATCGACTGATAGTTATTTGATCAGAGGAGTTATGGTCCCCAAGTCAGAAGGTATTACGATGATTCTTCTCTTATCCCAAGAACATGGGAGAAATATGTTGTTCTTCATTACAGTAGTGAAGAAACTCATCAATCCATAAGGCTAATTCGTGATTTTCTAGACTTGGAACATCGAACCAATCAATCAACTACGTTAAATTATGAATTAAGGCATGCTTCCACTTCTTTAATATTAATTCTTTTGAATCGAAATGGAAATTGTATCCATGACTTAAGTTTTAGGTTTTAATTTTCCAACATGAGTGATCCCTAATGGTTGCAGATCTGACGAACAGCCACGTCTCCGACAACCTCCAAGGCAGTTAACGCCTGCGGCAGCGGTAGACATTCCGGCAGCACACGTCCTCCGGCAACCAACTTTGGCGCAAACAGCATCTATCTACCGCCACCCGTCCAAATCTAAACCCGTGAGTGATAAATCCGTCCAAATGCAGCTCCATAACGTGAAAAACGTGGTTATGGAAAAAGGAAAAGAAGAAACTTTTTAATAAGAAAAAGAAAAACTTTATTTCTTTAAAGGTAAAAGAAGCTTACTATTTTTGTTTTAAGCAAAAAGTAAACTTTTTAAAATGGGAGGGTATCCAACAAATATTTTTGGATATTTTTGTCGCTTCCTTAATTTATTAATTTACAAATTATACCATTAATAATTTATTATAAATACTATATTAATTATTAATTATTAATTATCAATAATAATAAATATATATGATCTAACCAATGTTAGAATGCAAACGGTTAGAATACAAAAGGTTTTCTACGCCATAAAATTAAATTTTTTATTTAATTACAATTCATATTAGAATTTCAAAAATTGTGTAACGTTTTTATCTCCTACTACCATAAAAACATACTTTCTTTCACTATTTTTTCACAACACTTAATTCTCTCAAAACATTGCTCTCAAATGTTTTATTCAATCTCAAAATCATGTTGATGGCATACTCATCAAATTGCAGAAATCATATGTCGAATCTATATCTTGAATCCAAGGTTTGCGACGTTATCATTCCATAATTTATGAGATTAAATAATAGTGATTGTCAAGCATCGATATATTTTAGATTAGTGTATAGTTAAAGTTTTATTTTTTTTTGTTACTATTTATTGTTTTTTTATTGTTCTTTTATAATTAGTGTTTCATGTATTTAGAATGTTTTTTTAGAAAATAATTATAATGTATTAGATCCATTACCAGCTCATGTTGATTTTGTTGAAAAAAATTCGTGTAAGGGCATAAAAAACTATTTAATTAATTATAAATAGTAAATTAATAAATTAATTATAACAATAATTTGTATGAAATCTAAAAAGTTTGAATATATAACTTTGTCTATTCATTTTCCAATAATATAATTTAAAGATCTTTTTTAATAATTTTAATTATAATATGAAGTTAGATTGAAAATACTCCGTGCAACATAGCATTGAACTAGTGAAAATGAAAGGATAAATTTCATTAAAAAAAATAGATTAACTTTAAAAAAAAAAGGTAATTAAAGATGAGTTTTAAAAGAAACCATTTTATTTTATATTAACCATGTTTAAAAAAATAAATAAAATGTTGCATTTAAAAAATAAAGATTTTTTTAATAATTTTTTTTTTTTTTGGAAAAAGAGTAAAATATTTTGTTTTGATTTTAAGATGAGTTTTACTTGAGAGCTTTGAGTTTGAAAAAAAAAAAGATTTTTTCTTATAAAAGGAAAGTCTTGTAAATAAAGTCGTTTAGAAAAGTAATAAAAATTTAAATGGAAATGAAATTTTGTTTTAAAATAAAGTTTTAGAAAATAATGGAGAGATATTTTACTTTTAAAGAAACCATGTTTACATTTGGTTCACGGATTTGGAGTCAGAATTTATTAAGCCTGGGATTTAGTGTTGGGGTATTGTCTAATTTGGATTTGGGTAGTCTGTGTTTGTGTTTGAAGGGTAGGGTTGAGTAGCCTAAGTTTAGCCTGTGTTTGGGATGGAGGGTTGTGTAGCTTGAGTTTGACAGATTTTTTTTATTTATTTATTTTTTAGCAAAATGTTAAATATAATTTAATTAAATTTGTAGACAATCTTTTTTAGAAGGCATTAATCTATCCATTTTGAAATTTATATATGTTTCAACCATAATTTGAATTTCTCCATTCTCATACGTGAAACGGTGTGAGATTAGTCTTAATTGACTCTCTCATTTCTCCTTCAACATTCTCATTATTATTATTTTTGTTTCTCGATTTTACTTTTTACATTATTTGTTGTTTTTAAAATAATAATTTAAACAAGTTCTTTCAAATTTTTATATTTATTTTTCTAAATTACTATATTATATATTCAAATATTTTTACGCATATATTTATACTAAAAATTTTTATTTTAGAAAAATATTAAAATTATTTCTATAATCAGTAAATTTATAAAATTAATTCATTTTTTAATAATGTAAAAAGTATGAACATTACTTAAATTTACAAATTTTGATAATGAAATGGTTGAATTTTAATCTAAATAAGTTACGATTAAAAAAAGTGTAATCCATAGCAGCACGAGTTGTTGGTAGAAAGCTCATGGGTTCCAAACTCATAGGGGACGTTTGGCTGGGGGGTTTAATGAGCGGGAATGTGCGTATGGGTCAGTAAAACTCTTGTTTGTTTGATAGATGTGAAAACTTTTCCTAAGAATAACTTACTCCCAAACATCTTTTATTCCCATGCATAATGATTTTCTTTACTCCCATTTTTATGGGTTTGTCCATGGCTTTTGTGTTAAGTTCTTATCTGTCTCCTTTTTCAATAAATTATTTTTAAAAAATGTAATTATTTATTTATTTTATTAACATAAATTAATTAAATTTAGTCAAAATATTTAAATTAATCATAATTAATAAACCAACATTAAAATTTATCTAAATTAATTATGCTATATATTGTAATAACTTAATTTATTAAAGTATATTCTTAATTCTTTTTTTCATAAAATAAAAAAAATGCAATAGATTGATGGAATTTGTAGAATCAAAATATTAATTTTGTTAAATATGAGAATTATTAGGATCGATTATTGAATAAAACCAAACCAACAAATAAATTTAGATATATTGTTTATAATATGTTTGCTGCCGAGTGAAAGAGTTAAATTAAAACATAATTTTAATATTTGAACTTAATAAATATATATTAATTAACGTAATTTTGTTTGATTAACTCTAAAGCTTTATACACCTATATCACATTTTGTAAATATGTTTATATTAAATTTTAGGTAAATAACATTTACTATTGATTGTTCAATTTATTATTATGGTCAAATTTTATGAATAGATAGCTAAATTGTCAATTTAAAATTTAGAATGTTAATATAAAATAATTTATAAATTAAAATTATTCAATTTTATATAATTTATTTTTAATTAAATTTAATTAGTTATTAATCAATGTTTACAATGATATAAAAAARCATATTTCTAGTAATCATATAAAACAAATATATATATATAATTTATTTTCAGACATCTCAATTAGAGGCATCTTAACCAATAACACTGTTATCGTTGATTCCCAGATATCTTAATTCGAGAGTATTTTTTCCAAAAGACCCACATATATACAACCAATAACACTGTTATTGTTGATTCCCAAATATCTTAATACCAGAGTATTTTTTTAAACCTTTATCAAAAGACCTATAGCGGCTTGGCTTAGGATGCCAAATTCATCTCAAGCCAACCCCTTAGGCCAAATTCATCTTAAGGTGTTGGCATGGTGACAAGGGGTTTGAGTGTTAACATCCATGCTCCAAGTTAAATTCGAGTCTAATTTTTATGGCTTAAAGATATAGTTAATTTTTTTTATTTATCTTCATTTTTTTAAAACTTTTCTTACGCTCATTCAACTCCTTAACCAAAAATATGTTTTCGCAAACCGTTTTCTTTTTTTTTAGGTGACCAATCATACCTCGTGGATAGATGGTGATCCAAACACTTATCTCGAAAGAGACCCTATAGGGGATGACGTCAGCCACTCCGCATCCCGATGACGTTGCGACATTGTCCATCAAATCCTAGTTGTATAACTATACATAGATATCGTATCAATATATATAGAAGTGAACATGTTTGTTATTGTTTAGGTCCTATGTTCAAAAGATAAGGAACTTAAAGAATGATTTATAATATAATAGACATAGATTATTCCTCTCATTGTTAATTGATTTTGAGATGAAATCCTATAAATATTAATATGACATCAGAGTCCAAAACACTCAAACAAGCATTCAATCCAAAAATGAAATTCGACCATGATTAATGAACCAAAAGATCTATGATCTTGATTTTGAGATGAACCTGTAAATATTAATAATTACGACAACAATAGCTAATTAGTCAAATTTAAAACGTTTGGAAATCCAAGCCGCCCCCCTTGCACACCCAACTTTACCAGCTCATTATAACTCTATTTTATCGCGTGAGAAAGGTGCAACTCCATGCATGCACACAAAAGTAGTATATAAAGGGGTACATCCATGCATGATTCTTCCCACCAAAACCCAAAACCCAAATCTCAAAAGCTCTCTCCTTTTTGGTTTGCCAAAGAAATGGAGAACCCAACAAACAAAACCCACCTTTTAATTCTCATCTTTGCAATAATAATCTCTTGCTTTCTTTGCTTATCATCATCAGACTCAGTCTCAGCAATATTATTATCTGATGATGGTGATGAAGGGTTCAGTTATGATCCATGTAGTGAGAGAGGGCCTAAGCATTGGGGAGATCTTAAGGAAGAATGGGCAATGTGTAAAAATGGCAAAATGCAATCTCCCGTAGCTTTGTCTTTTTGGAATGCAAGATTCACAAAAGTTTTTGGTCATCAGCTCACCAGAAACCACTGGCCTGCTAATGCAGTTCTAAAAAACAATGGCCATGGAGTTGTTGTAAGCACAAAAACACAAATCATTTCTCTCTTTAATTTCTCGCAATTTCACCACTGTTTTACAATAATGGAGAAAAGTTCACAAATTAGTTTTTTTTCTTTTCGTTTTCTTTATAATCGTTTCTACCAACTTTCAACCTAAAAGAGAAGTTACCAATCTCTTAATCATTTAGTTAAGAGATGGACTTCTTTTCTAGAAAAAAAATGTGGTAGAGAGATTTTTGTAGTTTTTTTTAATTGCAATTACTTTTTTTTTTCTCCTTATTAAACAGAATTTTAAATAAAGGCAACAAGAGTCTTAATTTTTTGTTTCACTTAGGTAAGGAAAATTAGTTGGCACCATTTATAAAAAAAGTTTAGGGAAACTGTAACATAAAATAAATATGTTTTATAAAAATATCATTACATTTTGTTTTTTTTTTAAATGTCACACGAGTGAGTTTGAGTTTATCTTATGTGATTGTATAGATTTGCAACTTATACTACTTTTGTAAAATTTTAAACCTAATACTACATATTATATAAATACATATTCATTTTGTGATATTTTTTTAATTCTCTCTTTTTAAATTTTAAACATATACTTTTTTTCAATCTATCAAATACTCAAACTAGTAAATACATTTGAAGCCGTATGTTTCATTCTTTGTCATATTTATAATAATTTTTCTAACTCTTACTTTTATAATATTTTATCCTAAACAAATTAAATTGAACAAACGTAGGTTGAATGGGGAGGAGATGCTGGATCAATCAAGATCAACGACATCTATTACAATCTAAGAAATTATCATTGGCATCATCCTTCTGAGCACACCAAAGATGGAAAAACGTCTTTTCCCTCTCTCGCTACTATATTATAACAGTATTTATACGGTTTTGTTATTATTATTATTATCATTGTTGTTTTGATGATAAATATATATATTGTTAAATATTATTAGGTACCCTTTGGAGCTTCATATGGTACACACCAACATGGTGACTGGTAACATAGCTGTTATAGGCGTCTTATATGAGTTTGGTCCATCTGATCCACTCCTCAGTTTGGTAAATAAATTCCACCAACAATCCTATACCTTAAATCACTAATAGAATATTGATCAAAGGTCGAGAACTTTATTAAACAGTAATTTTTAAACTATGTTTTCAATTATATACGTCTAAATTAATATCTTTATTCTATTAAATCTTTTTCAAAATTCAAAGATTTGTCAGACACAACACTCATTAATTATAATATTAATTGATATATCTCAGATAGAAAAGGACTTAAAACGTCTCAACATCGAAGGAGGTGAGATATGGCTTGGACCAGTGGATCCTAGACTTGTATGGCTTCGTAGTTTGAGTGATAAATATGCGGGATACATGGGATCACTCACCACTCCTCCTTGTACGGAAGGTGTCATTTGGACTGTAATGGAAAGGGTATTCATCTTTGCTTGCTGTTTGCCTTCTTTTAATGCACATAATTATCTTAATCCTTTCCTCTCATTCTAATTAATTATAACTCTCTTCAGGTTCATACTGTCTCACCAGACCAACTCGAACTTCTTAAACAGGCCGTTGTGGAGGTAAATATGTTCGCTTAAGTTTTTGGGTTTAGTTTAAACTTCTGTAATGTATTTTTTATATGAATTTGTATAGGAGAATATTGCGAGGCCACTGCAAGACGTTAATGGTCGACCCGTTTGGTACTATAACCCCTTGTTGAGGAAGAGTGCAGCCGATCAGTAGATGGTTATGGCGAATACCAAATTCCCACAAAATGGCATTACTAAACACTTACTTATGTATTAAATAAAATGCCCAAGTTGTATTACTGTTTAATTAGTTGTGTCAATCTTCTTCCAGCTTTTCTTTTGGTTGTGATTTATTCCAACCATGCATATTTTTATCTAAGTGTGACATGGAATAATATGTTATTACAGTAATAAGAATGTACTATTTTCTTTCTTTCTTTTAGTTAAATATATGTTTTAATTTTTAATGTTTGAGTGTATAAAGATATACTAGCAATCTACTGTACTCAAGTATTTGAAGTTTACAATCACTCTTATATTAATATTCATGGATTCCATTTCAAGATCAATCGACAATGAGAGGAGTAACTCATATTTATTATAAATCTTTCTTAGGTTTCTTATCTTTTAAATGTGAGATCCTTAACATGCCCTCTCAAGATCGTAGCTCTTTTGGTTCATTAATATTGGTCGGATCTCATTTTTTAGACTAGATGCTCGTTTGAGTTTGTTATGTTTTGATACCATATTAAAATCCATAAGTTTTATCTCAAAACCAATTAAGAATTCATCAATCTATCACCTTATACTACTTTAAGATTCATTGATGGTTTTATCATGTTTAATATGGTATAGAGCGAGAGGTCCTGTTTGAATCCCTCCATTATTGTTTCCTCCCCATTTTTACATTTTCATTTGTTGGGCCTTGGACAAAATTTTCAATCCCACTTTTAAGATATTCAATGCAAATGACTAAATTTACCCTACCAATGATTAAATTAAGATGATGAATGAGATAAATTTAATTTATATACAGATATCTCAACATTGATGATTTAATAACATTTGTTTGCTGACCGAAACTAAATATCCTTAAATTTAATGATCAGCAGGAAGATGACTCATGGCTGAGTATTTTTTTTTTATTATATCCTTTTATTAAAAACTCCGTTAGAGCACTTTTTGCATGGATTCTATTTATAGAACCAAATTGGATAAGCTATGATAGAGGGGAATATCTTAGCACCTTGGCAAGGAAAAATCTGCCTAAGAGAGACACGCTCCGAAGTTTAAGATAAGTCAGTTTAAGCTCGGACTTAATATGGAGTTTGAGAAAGAATGCAATACCTAATGCGAAAGTGAGGTCGGCCTCTATTTATAGGTTGGGGATCCGATAGGGAGTTATTTGTGTTAAATGTGTCGAGTACTTAATTTCGATACCCGAATGACAGCCACACTGTAGGGAAGTGTCACTGAGCGTTTTACGGCTAAGTAAGGCATGTCAAACCTGTCAGAGATGGCTCTCGAGTAAGACCTTGACCTATTAGACCTCCCTTCTGTCCCCCACGTGGTAAGGTTATTTTTTGTCCTCAATATTGACCCCCTCTCTAGATGGTCGGAGTTTCCACCTGTCAGAAGAGTTTTTTGGATTTGAAAATTTGCTTAAGTGGTGACTTTTCGACTCCTAAGCTTGGCGGTTCAAGTTGGTGAAATATATAGCTGTTGGAAAGGTGAATTAATTGATACGACAGCTACTACAGCACTGGAGTGTCTCGACCTATGGTATACCGCCAAATATTGACTGTTGAATTTTAGACATGTGTAAGGTCGAGATTAATTTCCGCCTTACTATAAATAGGTCCAAGGTCAAGCTCCATTTTGAAACCTATGGTCCAAATGGAAACTTAACTAAAAATGAGGAGCGAAAGAAATTGAACCAACCTAAAAAACCGACTCAGAACTGAGCTGATTCGGGTCGATTTGATTTAGATGACTGTTCGAACAATTTGGTTTGGTTTGATTTGTCTTTAATCGAGTATGTCTTCCTTAAATGGAAGACACATGCGCCGCCCCCCAGTTCTCACGACCAACCTCCATACTCACGGTGGCGACAAGAGAGCAGCAATTTAAGATAAAAGCCAACAAAAAGGGCAAGATGGTTTCGGATCCCAAGAGAAGAAGAAGCATAAAAGGGAAAATTTTGAAAATTGGGGCAAAATTTTCCACACAAAAGAAAGAAATCGGCAGCAGCTACTTGGATCTGTTTATTTTCTCTCTCTAGAAGAAATTGCAGAAAGAAAGGAGAGAGAAGCAAAAGAGTTGGAAAAGTTTGGAAGCGCAAGAACTGAAGAGTCAGAGTGAGTTTTTGTCTTCCTAGATATGTTTATTTATCTTGAAGATTTTTTGAATTCTTAGTTTTTTCTTTCATTTATTTTTTTTGGAGTATCCTTGAACCAAAATGTTTTAGATTTTTCTGATTAGAAAGTTTCTCTCTACCCAAAAATCGAACTGAATCGATACATACATAAAAATTTTGTTAGGTAATAGGAATACAAACAAAGATCAACATTACCTAGGCAAAAATGTGATTCATGATATATAGGTGAAAGACAATTGTCTCCATAGAAACTTCTTTAGATGCTTAAACATACAATATTAAACTATACTACTGTAAGGCTATTGAAAAGATAAGAGACCTAGTAATTGTTTATAATGTAAGTGAGCTACTACTCCTCCAATTGCAAATTAATTTTAAGATGTAATTCCATGAATATTGATATGTATCCGACCTAACAACAGTTTATAATGTACGTAAGTGGACTACTACTCTCCTTCGAAGACTAGAAATATCTTTTTTTTTAAAAAAACCCCACACCACCAACTTTATAACCACACATTTGTAACCCTATCTTATCCAAAGTAGTAAATAAAAAGGGGTGCATCTAGCCATGATTTTTCCAACCCAAACTTGAAAAGCTCTCTCCTTTTTGGTTTCCCAAAGAAATGGAAAACCCAACAAAGAAAACCCACCTTCTAATTCTCATCTTTGCAATAATCTCTTGCTTTCTTTGTTCATCATCATCAGACTCAGTTTCAGAAATATTATCTAATGATGGTGATGAAGTGTTCAATTTTGATCCATGTAGTGAGAGAGGGCCTAAGCATTGGGGAGATCTTAAGGAAGAATGGGCAATGTGTAAAAATGGCAAAAGTAAAGCAATCTCCTATACCTTTGTCTTTGAGGAATGCAAGTTTCGGTAGAATTTTAGGTCGACATGAGAGGAGAAACTACAAGCAGGCTAATGCAATTCTCAAGAGCAATGGCCATGAAGTGGTTGTAAGCACAAAAACAAATAATGTCTCTCTTTAATTTCTCTCACTTTCATTAATGTTTTGCAACGGAGAAATGTTCCAAACTAGTTTGTCCTTTTTCTCTTTTTGTTTACTTAATGGTAATCGTATGATATGTTTTGCGTGGTTATGTGACCCAAACCGTGAAAATTCTAAAAAATATTTTTCATATTTTGAGTTTAACATTTTAAAACACAAAATTACACTAAACCAATATAAAGAAATTTTTAAAAAGACTTTTTGTTTAGTATATTTTATAATATAGTATTCGTTTTTATAATTTAATAATATATATATACACACACACAAGTAACTATAAAGGTAAATTTTTTTTTAACAAAAATAATGCATGCACTTAAGCTTGAACGTCTATTTTGTGGTCATATACTTTCAACTCTTGTTCATTTGAGTTAATATATTTATACAAATAGGACCATTTTGGTCCCTTCATTTTAATTCTTATCTAATTTATTTCCATCAATCAAAATTTTAATATGACAATTCACTTACTAAATTTGTCAAAATGTAGCCATAAATTTGTATTAGAGGGTTTTCATTATGTATAAAATTTGTGTTAAACTTTTACAAAGGGACCAAAATTGTAATTTCATAAAAATAAATGACAAAAACAGACYGTTTCAAAGTACAGACACAAAAATGAACAAAAGTTTACCGAGACAAAAAAAATGAATATTTTGAACCTTTGTTTCGTGTTCTATTTTTAGAAAATATTAGTCATTTTTATAAAAAATAAAATATTGTATTTTTTCTAATTTTAAAAATTTTCTAAGAATTCAATAAAGCACCTCTAAAAAACAAAAATAAAAGAAAGCAAGGGTGAGTACAAAAATTGAAATTTAATATAAAAGTAAAATAATTATCAGATATAAAATAAAATAGTTTTTCCAAAAACGATTTTTTTTCAATTAACTATTTTTTTTATTTTAAAGTAAGTAAAAATATGATTCCTAGTACAACAATATAATCTAATTATGAATTTAAGAATTTTTTTTTTCCAAAAACCAATCGCTGTCGTCTCCTCAACTCAAGGGTGGATGAAAAACTCCAACACCCTAGTAAGTTAATAATAATTTTTTTTTAATTAAATTATACAAACACCCTGGAGCTTCAGATTTAGATAAATTTCAATAATATTCCTAAATTTTCAAAATTTTTATTTTTACCTTTAAACTTCTTACAAAACTACCCTTCCATCCATTTTTACATCAAAGTAAAAGATAGAAAAGTGACGTGGTAGTAACTTGTAAAATATATAATGGTATAGTGGCAAAGTTTTCAAAGTTTCAATTATATTCTTGAACTTTATAATATGTCACACTTCATTACCGAAATAACATATTATTCCATATCACACTTAGATAAACATACGCATGGTTGGAATAAATCACAACCAAAAGAAAAACTGGATCAAGAAGATTGACACAACTAATTTAAACAATAATAGAATTACTTGGGCATTTTATTTAATACATAAGTAATTATTTAGTAATGCCCTTTTGTGGGAATTTGGTATTCGCCATAACCATCTAGCTACTCGGCTGCACTCTTCCTCAAGCTGGGGTCATAGTACCCAACGCGTGGACCCTTAACGTCTTGCAGTGGCCTTGCAGTATTCTCCTACACAAATTCATATAAAAAATACATTTACAGAAGTTCTGTCCCTCTTAATCCAAACGCTATAATACATATTTACCTCTACAACGGCCAGCTTAAGGAGTTCGAGTTGGTCGGGTGAGACAGTATGTACCTGAAGAGAATTATAATTAATTAGAATAAGAAGAAATTAGGATTATTAAGATAATTATGTGGATTAAAAGAAGGCAAAGAGCCAAGCAAAGATCAATACCCTTTCCATTACGGTCCAAATGACACCTTCAGTACAAGGAGGAGTGGTGAGTGATCCCATGTATCCCGCGTATCCTTCACTCGAACTATAAAGCCATACAAGTCTAGGATCCACTTCTCCAAACCATGTCTCACCTCCTTCGATGTTTAGATGTTTTAAGTCCTTTTCTATCT